GGGGGTTGGAGAATTACAAAGAATTATAAAGAATTCATCTTTTAAATCCTATTAAGTTCTGCCTTCGTGTGCCAACATGAGTAGAAACATTGAACTTACCATGATATCGGCACTGTACTGAACCGGCTGTTGATGCTTCTCGCCAAGAGACACAGGCTAGACGAAAAGGGTAAAACAAAACACAGCATTTCGAAGTCAATAATATAATAATTTTCATCCGGCGCATTCGCCAAGAGTGAATTGCAACTAGATAGAGCGGTCGTCAGTTGACAACCCCCCCCCCTCTCCCACCTTTAAAAAACAAACCAAAAACATAAAATCTATGCGGAAATAACACTTTCAGTAATGCTATGAATAAAACAATTTGACCACTCATATACACATATATGTTTTTTTCAACTGATGATCGTCACAAGAAAATGTTCTTGCAAACCTTGAGACCTACCCATCTAACCGTCTATGTTTTGAAGTATGATTGCGCAAATTATTTATTCGTAGCATAAGCAGAGGACGTACCCAGTCAGTGTGCTGACAGTGCTCAACACTGCGAAGGCAGAGCGTAATACAGAACAACAAGGAGAATCAAGGCGTGTTTGCTGCTGCTTCAAGTCTCATGCTCTCGCAATCAGCAGGCAAAATGTTTGTTGTTTTGCATGCATAGCATTAAAACAAAACCGATGTTCAGATTTCTGCTGGACTTACGTATCTCACATAAAACCGGGAACTTCTGGTCCAGCGGAACCTCTACCCCGTTGACAATATTAGCTGTGCCTGTATCTGTAGGAGTACCTGACCAGCCTTGTATAGTCGTACTTGACAGGCCAATTGTGCATCCAGCATTGACAGATTTATTGGAAATGATCGATCCTTTATACAGCCGGCATAGTTGATCTGCTGAATGGTAATCCAATTGAATGGGGTCGTACATTGATATAGAATCCTTAGTCATTGAACCGCAGTAACGGTAATTGGTCGGTGTAAAAGCTGCAAGGCATGCACACAAACAGTATCATACAGAATCATTATCGCACCGGCACACACACACACTCGGGAGAATGAAGTTGAAAACATCACTGCACTTATCAACCATAGCCGTGCACACACACACACACACACACACACACACACACACACACACACACACACACACACACACACACACACACACACACACACACACACACACACACACACACACACACACAAACACACACACACACACACACACATACACACACACACACACACACACACACACACACACACACACACAAACACACACACACACACACACACACACACTACTATTTTATTTTTCATCATAGCCTAGGAGCTGTGGCATCATTTATGATCCAGAGCAAGAAGGCAGCAATGCCTGTACCTATGGTGAAGTAAAATAAAGGTAACAAAACATAACACAAACACATGCTTGTACAAACTTGCTCTTGCTGGCAATCACGCATGGTGACGACAATACTTGAAAGATCATTCGAAAAACTTTTTGCCAATGTCCTTCATCGCTGAGACTCTTACAGTCCATTCATTGGAAACTGGCACCCTAACTTGTTGGTGTCTCTGTCACATAGTTGTAGATAGCGTGAAAACAACAGTACATCCTGCATTGTGTGACCCGTGCACTTATTCCTTGCCACATTTGAGGCCAGAAAAGTCCAAGAACAGGGAAATAGAAATTCAGCCAGGTTTTACAAAATTAGGACAGGTATGCCATGGCAAAATGTATGGAGAAGCAGATCCAAAACCCAGATTTTTGAGATTTAAAGTGGGTTTTTGATCCTCAATTCGGCCCAAATCCGACTTTCTAAAGCCAGCGGGCCAGTTTCCGATGAATGGACTGTAGCTTGTGCTTTTCCTGGTTGCACTCTCCTTCGCATCCTAGATAATTACCATGACTTCGAACGTTCGAAGTTGGAAAGCTGTTGAATTGAACATCGAAGACATGCTTGAGCCGCTTTGCTGTTATTTGTAGTTTTTTTGTTACCATCGGTCAGTTTTCGTGGAATGTTATCACATGAGCTGATTGTGTAGTATCTGGCGGAGCGAGTGGACATAATAGCAACTTATAGTTTAGTGGTCCTTTCCTTTGCTGTAAACTAATCCTTGGCTCTCCATCCGAGTCTTAAACTGGATTGGCATGACAACGCACGGCCAGTTTTCCGTTTTCAGTCCCGCATTTCTTTTCCATTTTGTGCGTTTACACGAACAAATCTGATCCGAGGCCCGAGGCCAGGTGGTTGCCGTTTGTATCGTTTTCGCGGGTCTACACGGGATCCCACTTACACGCGTGAGGAGAGGATCCATCAAAGTTCGTCATGTGCCAAGTGTTGTCGTGGAAGCACCAAATCACACTCAAGCAATAGCTGGAAACGAGGCACACGGCAGCACTACTTACATTATGAACATTGCAATATTTTTGATTGTCGAATCTCTGTGAACGGGCGGAAATGAAACAAGCATGACGAAGACGAGGTCTAGAACGCCATTTCGACTGTTCACACATCCAAATTTATCCGGCATAATATCACCATTTTCAAAAGTCCTCCACCTTGGCCAAGGTTTAGTTTTCTTCCGCCTTGGTGCACAACCTTTACATTTTGCCCCGTGTGCCGTGTAGCATGCATCCGAAAGGATTTGCTTGCATTTTCACCGTCAGCGTTGTCATGACAGCGTGGCTGAACTACAGTACTGTTTGTGGAAAAGATTTTCGCTCTCTATTCTGGGTGCAGGTGCAAACCAATGTTTTTTCGCACTATTCTGAGAAAAAAGTGTACATCGTGCATACTTTTCAAAGAGCAACCTAGTGTAACAATGCTGTCCATTGGCCGAATCGGACAAACAAAAGGTCCACCGGCATTCAAATATATTCAGCTGTGCTCTCCGATCCGAGGTCGGAGAGCGGAGTTATGAGTCACGAAATGAGTTCTTATAGTTGTTGCCTCCTAGTTGTTGCACTTTCTAACTGTATACAGTTTGTAGTTACAATGGTGGACAGTTACTCTCAACTCCTATCCATATGTCCTTTTCCTTTCTACATTCAGCAGTGATAATGAAAGTGATAATGTGATGGCCAGTCGGAGTTGTTATATCAGTACTTACGGTGACATGACGGTGTCGGACTCAAGTTTTTGTAACCATCGCATGTAACGATAGGATTCCCTCGGGTAAAGTAACCACTTTGACATGAATATTTTGCCGCTCCAAGGTATTCCAACACCGAAGCGTTTGAAGTACTAAATAGTACTACTGGTGGTGTGCAGACGAACTCTGGACACGAGGTTGAGAGACAAAGAAAGAAGAGGAAAGATTTGATTTAAAGCTGCGAGGACACAAGAAAACCACTGTGGATAGAAATAAAACCTGACGTCCTTCTCATGTGACAATCATCGTGAATCGTCATCACAAGGAGAGCTGGACTACAAAGGAAATATTATAATCAAGGCAGGGTGAAATGAAAGCAATACATAAAGCAGGTTATGCATTCCACACACTCAACATTCACACAGGTTAGGCATCCTACAACGTTTTCATTGCCATTTCTTCAGAAGAATACCTAACTTGTGTGAATGGTGTGGGTATTGAATGAGCAACTGCTTTATTTATTGGGTTGATTTCATTTCTGTCTCCGCGAAAACAGTATACAGTCAGACCTTGCTTAACTGCACACATCTGTTTTCCACAAAAAGTATCCGGATAGGCGAAGGAACCGCATAACCGAACACCGGTTATGTTGGATCCATCACTTATGCTGTAAATCTGTAACCAAATATTTTCTTCCGGATGGCGAGGGATCCGGATAAAAGAGGACCGGGTAAGCGAGGCCTGGCTGTAGTACCACGGGGCCATGGTACCACTCCTCCCTAGGTACCATCCCTCCCCAGGGTACCACCCCTCTCCAGGGTACCACCCCTCTCCAGGGTACCACCCCTCTCCAGGGTACCACCCCTCTCCAGGGTACCACCCCTCCGCCAGGGGCACTGCCCCTCTGCCAGGGTACCACCCCTCTGCCAAGGTACCAGCCCTCCCCAGGGTACCACCCCTCTCCAGGGTACCACCCCTCCCCGGGTACTACCCCTCCCCGGGTACCACCCCTCTCCAGGGTACCACCCCTCTGCCAGAGGCACTACCCCTCTGCCAGGGTACCACCCCTCTGCCAAGGTACCAGCCCTCCCCAGGCTACCACTCCTCCCTCAGGGTACAACCCCTCCACCAGGGTACCAACGACTATTTTTGTTGCAATTACTCCAGTAAGGGGCCGTCCGTAAATATCGATGTTTTTTTAGAGACGATATTGGTGCGTCTGGGGGGGGGGGGGGGGGAGGGGGGTTGAGCCATGTGCGTCTTTTCGAGCATCAGAAAAATATCGATGTAAATATCTGAAGTTTCGCCGATCCCTGCACGCGGACGTCTAAATGGCTATACAAGAAATGTGAAACCAGCTTCCGTTCGCTGAGCTAAAACTCGCGACACAAGAACAAAATCAAAAATTGGAAGCTGTACGCATATGGCGAATTTCAAGAGCAAACGAATGAGCTATTGATTGTGGAAATCGGCCGAACGATGCCTGCAGGAGACCTTTTTCAAGACCTAGGGGCAGTGCAAACAAACACGGACGAACTCCACAAGAGTTTCCAGTCTTCACTGTCTGAACAAGGATTTGATTCTCGAGGGCGACCAAAAAAGTCATAATGCTCTCCTTCTCAATTAGACCATATAAATACTGCATACTTGCCATCTTGGGTTCATATTATTGACAAAAAAAGGAAAAAATGAGCATCCAAAAATATTGATTCCATGATCTAGATGAACATGTGCGTCTTCTGGGGGGGAGGGGGGGGGGGGTCAAGGGAGAGAAGCACCAATATCGTCTCTAAAAAAACATCGATATTTACGGACGGCCACTAACAGGGCAAAAAGAATATTGTCATGATAAATTTTGAAGGTACTGAGGAGAACCTCAAACTCAAAGGCTCAAAGGATCAATACTAACATGACTTACTTATACAGCTAGGAACTGATGTTAGGTTTCCATTGCCCTGGCACGTTGGGTTCATATCACCATCGATGACCAGACTGAGTGGGCAGGAGTAGGTCACAGAGTTTGTGACAGCTACTACACTGAGGTTAGCCTGCCCGTTGTCAATAGCAGGTACATTGCATTTCACATCTGGGTGCAGAACGAGGAAAACGAACCGTTTTTTTTGCAGACAGCCGAAAGACAAGGGAAAATTTTAAATCTACCGCAAGGTGTAGTAATAGTTGGCAGAGATTTCTCCCAATGCATGATGCCCCGGTTTGGCTGACGTGCGGAGCAGCTTTAAGCACTATGAGACCCACCTTGTTTCGTCCACCAGTGCATACTTGCTGGTAAAATTTTCAGCTGTCAGCCAACACCTCCTTGGTTTCACTCTGCTGGATGAGCACCCGTTATACTGGAGGCAATATATTGGGACGTGCTTAGCTGCAATCTAGGGAAATCCACGCTGCGCTGATCCGTGAAATGTCAAGGCAAAAAGCCCTGATCGTAGGAAACCTGACAACGTGTCTAGACCATGAAACTAGAACACACACTTTTCGACTTCAACATTTCAAGTGTAGAATCGGAACACTTCTTTTCTTCTATTGCATACTAGTAAAACCCTGTGTGGAATTAAAGCCTGTGTGGAATTGAAGCCTGTATGGAATTAAAGCCTGTGTGGAATTGAAGCCTGTGTGGAATTGAAGCCTGTGTGGAATTGAAGCCTGTGTGGAATTGAAGCCTGTGTGGAATAGAAGCCTGTGTGGAATAGAAGCCTGTGTGGAATTGGAGCCTGTGTGGAATTGGAGCCTGTGTGGCATAGAAGCCTGTGTGGAATTGGAGCCTGTGTGGAATTGGAGCTTGTGTGGAATTGAAGCCTGTGTGGAATTGGAGCCTGTGTGGAATTGGAGCCTGTGTGGAATTGAAGCCTGTGTGGAATTGAAGCCTGTGTGGAATTGGAGCCTGTGTGGAATAGAAGCCTGTGTGGAATTGGAGCCTGTGTGGAATTGAAGCCTGTGTGGAATTGGAGCCTGTGTGGAATAGAAGCCTGTGTGGAATTGGAGCCTGTGTGGAATTGGAGCCTGTGTGGAATTGGAGCCTGTGTGAAATTGAAGCCTGTGTGGAATAGAAGACTGTGTGGAATTGAAGCCTGTGTGAAATAGAAGACTGACTTTTTAAGATACACTGTCAGTGCACAAGCCTGGTTTAGTATTGACATACATAGAGATACGTACCTCGGATAAAAGCCTGATTTGAATAGAAGCCTGATTTGAATAGAAGCCTGATTTGAATAGAAGCCTGATTTGAATAGAAGCCTGATTTGAATAGAAGCTTGATTTGAATAGAAGCCTGATTTGAATAGAAGACTGATTTGAGTAGTAGCCTAGCACTGACATTAAAGTCTACAGGTGACAAGTATAACGCTTATACACGACATTCCGATACACGCATTCTAAACAGATCAATGGCTAACTTACGTATCTCGCATATGGCGTACAGCTCGCTGCTCAGGTCACGTGCCATGCTGGCGGTGTCAAATACCTTGCCATCTGCTGTTCGCAGCCCTCTCCATCCAATCTTTTGTTCATTGGTGTACTTACTCGCACATCCTTTGCCAAAAGACGAATCCGGTAGAATAGTTCCATTGTACATCAAGCATAGTGTGTTTGCTGAACCGTAACTCAGTTTATTGTGTGATATTATCGTTACAGAGGAATCGCAAGCAGTATAGTCGGTTAGTGCTGAAGCTGTAGTCATGTACAAAGCAACGGACAAACATACACACTGTAACTGCTGCTTACACTTAGGCATTAGTCCCTGGCTGGGTTTCGTTTTTGAAATCTAATCTATGTGCACCCCCTCCGACATGGCCCAGGAGTGAAAAGCCTGGAAAGGTGGAAAGCTCGTATGATGGTGGAGAACTCCAAGGAACTACAGTGGCTGCGTTCGATTATGCACTTGAATTGATTCATGAATCCATTCGCATGCATTAAAGTCCTTCGATTTTCACGTCACGATCCCTGGAATCGGTTCGGAATCCATTCACCCTATTCACATGGAGTGATGTGAATAACGCGAATCGATTCACGGGCATAATCGAACGCCCTCACTGGAACCTTGTGTTGCATGGTCAGTGTGGTTTCACGTCAATGCATACATTATAATGTGTGGAATTCAAAGGGTTTCACAGAGAATCTGCTCAACAGCACAATTATTTGGACCGGAAACCTTTTCCATATCGTGCGAACAGTCTTCGATGCACAATGCACGGCCCATCTTCACGAAATCCTGCAGGACACGCACAGTTCCAAACCGTAGGTGAGCCGGAGAACTGGCATAGCATCCACTGGTGGCATTAACGTGCTGCTGTCTTCCATATCTGATCATCCATACATCTTTGTGTAATCCATTTCAACTTGCTCACCATTACCGTTCTATCCGTTGTTCTTGGTTCGTGTTTTTAGCCGTTATGACCTCACGTGTGCAGAGCCATCAATGCCCAACCACCTCTGCTGCGTCTTCATGCAGCCCCTGCTCAGCAGTTGTCACGTTTGTCCTAGCCTCAGTACCGTTGTCGTCCCATTATTTTCGAGTTGGGTATGCGAAGATACAAAGAAAAAATTAAAAAAAGCGCTATCATCGTAGAAGTTGAACTAAGAACTTGGCTCACCTTCCCGTGATGCAACCAACAAGGGGGTACTGACATGCTGGTGTTGTACAGGCCGCTCAATCATGGCACACGCTGCTGAACCACGCACAGCACCCGTGATGCCATAACAGAAATGGGACATTTAAAAGGAAAAATGTCTCTGAAACCCACCGGATGATGCTAGAATTTGAATCAAGGCGTCATGAATGTAGTTAGTATGCACACGCATAGTACTCACAGTGACATGAGGGAATTGGGCTATTGGTGCCATGAGCATTGCATGTAACTATTGAAGAGCCGAGCAGAAAGTATCCGCTGTTGCACGAATACTGGGCAACTTGGCCATATTCCAAGAGTGAAGCATTAGCCGTGCCGTTTATAATTGCTGGTAAACTGCAGTTAAAGGCTGGGCAGGAGGTCAATAGAGAAAAAGAACAAGGACAAAAGCAGGGTCGACTTTTGCATTTGGAGGAGGACCTTGCATTATGTGCCTTCCTGTTCATAATGGTACACACGTATTTAACTATTCACAACATGGTAAACATCCTTAAGTAAAACACAAATACTTCCTCCGCGTCATCGAAATTGTCGCAGTTTGACTAGTGACTTGTCACTTGCTACCGACAACTCCATAAGCTAAGCCATTCAAAACTTATTACACAGTATGACAGTCTGAAGACTAGAGTAACGTTCCAGGACAGTTGGACTGAGAGTTTTCATGCAGAGATGAAGTTCTCGTCGTCGCTGATGTCAATGGACGGAAAATATCGTTCCGAAATATTTCAAGGAAGGTTGAATGTTGTTCGCGCATCATCTCAAACGCTTTGACTTTCTCCACAGGACAAGAGCTTGTCGTCTGCTAGCTCTGGATGATTTCTACTTCACCACCAACGAAGCCTAGTAAGAAAACACGATCGTTGCGAGGTCAGTTGATTACCGGCGGCGGAATCACCTCGATCCTGAAATGAACCTTTTTTAGCCGTGGCATGCCCATTTACTTTAGCTGTGTGGTCACAGCTCATGCAGGTAAGTGTACTATCACATCCAGCGCGCCCTCTTTTTCAGCATCACTGGTCTACCATGGTACGTCACCTGCGCGTGCATCACTAGCACTACGTGTAGAGTCTACACGGCTTTTGCAGGTACAATCATGTACTGAGTGTCTCAGCCAGAGCGACAAATTTTATCGCTGTTGCAGGCATTTAGTTTGCTGACCCCTCGATGTTTCTCCAAGCGCTGCCACTTGTTCCACGAAGTCATTCTCACCCCAGCGACGGTAAAACAGTGATGAGGCTTGAGTGAATGGGAATCAGCACGAGAAATGTGCAGGCTGCAACGCCTGACTGATCTCAGCGAGTCAAAATCACCATCGCAGCGACATCAGCGAAGAAATTGCGTCTAGTTCAAAAATTCCAGCTTCCAATAACAAGAAAATAGACCTTTGCCGTCACCCTAAACTGATGGCTATCGCCTATGTCCAATTCCTTGCCTCTGGTACGAGTGCTGGAGAGTAAATACCCCGTTTTATATCAAAAGTCAAGCTGCGACAATTTCGATGACGCGGAGGAAGTACCAGTATACTTATCCACAGTAGGAAGCAGCTGCAAGTTGCCATCCTGGACATTAGAAAATGGCAACGAATTCCAACCAGACGACATACAGAAGAGAAAAAATACAAATGTGGGGAGAGAGAGAGAGAGAGAGAGAGAGAGAGAGGGGTGGAGAGAGAGAGAGAAAGAGAGAGAGAGGCGGTGGAGATGAAGCTCTGTTGCAATTCACACTTACGTGCGCAGTGAGGTACCGAAGAGAGACTTCCATTGAGCATGCAGCGTGGCGTGGCATCGCCGATAACCTTCAGACCGGGAATACATGAGTAGGTCACAGTGAATGTGACAACTATGACATCCTTGTCCTTGAAGCCGTCTGGAATGTAAGGTGCCTGACATTTCGTTTCTGTGCACAGAATAATAATAATAATAATAATCTTCACTAGTTTGAGGGAAAGAGACAAACGGGAAAAGTCTGAAGAAAAAATTGACTGTCACCACCAGGACTCGAACCAGGGACCCTCGCTTGTAGCTAGCGATGCTCTAACCACTGAGCTATGGTGTAGTCGTCATCTCAGCAGAGATCGTTCAACATTTTCTTCAGACTTCGTAACTCACACTTCCTGTGAATCCACATAGGCGGGTGGGACGCAGCGCTCACTGTAACACACACACTTTCACTTGCCACCATATAAAAGACCCAAGTGCCATCAGTATGTGTGGCACGTGGTGTGAGCTGCCTTTGGGGTGAAAAACTTGTCAGCGCCTTCTAGGTTCAGCCCGGTCCCATAGCTCAGTGGTTAAAGCATTGCTCATGACAAGCAGGGTCCCAGGTTCGAGTCCTGGTGGGTCTGGCGTTTTTTTCTCTTTTCAGGCAGTTCACTTCCCCGACTGATCCTTTTAATATGAAGTTCTCCCAATCCTTTCCAAATAATAATAATAATAATAATAATAATGACAGTTCGCATATCACTCATTGCATGAGGTCAACGCATCTGTTAACAATTTCGAGCCAAGCAGCTCTATGAGAAGCAGATTGCACAGCATCCAGAAGCGACAGATTAATGCGTTGTAAGTCACAGAATGAAGACAACAATTCACTGAAGGCCGATCAAGGAACCAGATGAAGTTCAAGTTTCGAGACCAAGCACTTATCGATTCTAACCCTTCTCTGTGCAGCAATGATTATCTCTGAAACGAGTACAAAATGGTCCTGTTGAAGCTCTCTAGGACACGAACATATTTGCTCATCTGCCTCAATCGTGGAAAACTTCACCTAAATCTGACAGAAAAGGGGTTTTCAACAGGACTCAAGAGTTGACCATATTGGCACGGTGCTGTTTCCAACATCGACATAACAAGTGAATAGAATCATTTGGGAAGAAAATTCAGTGTCGAACAGGCTAAGAACCTGCCGCGTGCTCTTAAAATAATTATATGTATGCAACTCACCACTACAATAGGGGACTGAGGATAGAGTTCCATGCTCCGTGCACATTGGATCGGCATCTCCCACTAATCCATAACCTTGCCTGCAGGAATATATAACACGATCTGGGTATTGAATCTCAGACACGTTGACAAAGCCATTCGCAATGGGAGGGATGGAGCAGTTAACAGCTGCAACCGGAGTGAAGACAACAGAGATACGGCAAGCTAAAAGTCTTCTTCAAAAATCAAATAAACTGCCACCCACCATAAGCTGTGAGCCTAGCCATACCCGGTTCAGTGCCCTCTAAAGAGCTGTATGCCTGGTAAATTGTAAATTTCCCCGCATCTATTCACTTGCGGAGAGATCAGTACACAACATAACAACTTCCTAATGTGAATGTATGTCCGAAATCGATTTTCAAGTTTCAATCATCAGTGAAAAAACGGAACTGAAGCCAAAAGGCGATCGCACCAAGATAACATATCCAAGAGAGGTAGAAACAATGCCTACGTGCTGATACATGCCACATGGCGGCTACCGATTTGACACAGTTTATACTTGATAACGTGAGTGAATAATATTAGTACATTAGCACTGGCTGTTGCTGAAGCTCGGATCGTGGTCTGATCCGGCTCAAGAGCAGTATTACGAGGGGACTGAACGGATTTTTGTCATCAAGTATACAGTGTTTTACTCTCTCTCTCTCTCTGTCTCTCTCTCTCTCTCTCTCTCTCTCTCTCATTGCTTTGCGATCCATGTGTTATGGTAGTTTTAATTCTTGTATTTTTACAAAACAGAACAGCAAGGACAACAAAGGCTTGTTTGCTGCGACTTCAAGTTTCATGCTCTTGCAATCATCAGGCAACTTGAAGTCGCAGCAAACAAGCTTTGATAGTCCTGTTCTGTATTACGCTCTGCCGCCGCGATGCTGAGCACTGTCAGCACACTGGGTGCACCCTCCGGGGCGTAGTTCTTGTGTTTTTGTGTATCTGCATTTTTTCTCACCTAGAAGGCAGACAGCCCAAACGGGCCGCTTTTCAATGAAGTGTTTTGAATTTTTCTGATAAGGAACACTACAGATGGTGTGGAGTCACGAAAATACCTTCAGTGCAACCACATGTTCCTTTTGCTTGCACACATCAGGCTTATGGATACACACACAGACAGCTTCGAGAACCTTCAACTGGTGTGCATAAGGGCCATATCCTGATGTGGGGTGTTTGTGAGAAGACGTGCATGCCCGCATGTGTATGTGAGTGCATGCCCCTAAAGCCTAGTTCACATTCGACGGGGCGCGACTGGACGCGACGTAAGAATCGACGGGACTGTCTGACGGAGTCCAATGTGAACACCAGGAACTGGAACACACCCGTACTGCCGTACGGATCGGGAAGCGACGGGAAGAGTTGGATCGATCCAACTTTTCATACCGTAGACAGGCGTAGACGAGGATGCAAGCGTACAAAGCAACTGCATTTTGAGAGTAAACTGGAGACGGCGCCGTGCACCAACTACTCCCGATTTGTACTTGGAAATTTTTAGCATTTCGAACACTGCGCTTCCTATGATAACTCGCAGAATGGCTAACATGACTTGAGTTGAATTTAGCAAGATAAGATCTGATGTCAGTAATGGTATTTAGGGAAAGTTCAGGAGCGTGACAGACGAACTGTTTTATCATTTCCTAGAGCTACTATTTGAATGGCACACCTTTCGAAGCTACTTTTTTGGTGTTCATGAGAAACTGGTATTATGAACTTGATTCTGCTTCATTCAAGGAGAAATAGTTGAAAAGAAGTCGCGAAAACAAGAAATTAGGTCCAAAAGTCACCCCGTCACGTGCCGTGATTTATGATTGACGCCGTTCGCTGTTGAACGACGCAACAACTGCAGTTGTCGTGTGGTACGAATCGTACAAGATTTTACAGCTCACACAAGCCTTCCCGACAAGCCCTTATGTCCCGTACCGTCAGCGTTCCGTCAAATGTGAACTAGGCTTAAGTGTATGTGTGTGCATGCCCTTGTGTGTGTGTATGTGCAAGCCCGTGTATGTATGTGTGTGTCTGTATGTGTGTGTCTGTATGTGTGTGTGTGTGTGTGTGTGTGTGTCTGTATGTGTGTGTGTGTGTGTATGTGTGTGTGTGTATGTGTGTGTGTGTGTATGTGTGTGTGTGTGTCTGTATGTGTGTGTCTGTGTGTGTGTGTGTGTGTGTGTGTGTGTGTGTGTGTGTGTGTGTGTGTGTGTGTGTGTGTGTGTGTGTGTGTGTGTGTGTGTGTGTGTGTGTGTGTGTGTGTGTGTGTGTGTGTGTGTGTGTGCAAGCCCGTGTGTGTATGTGTATGGGTAAGTGAAGACAAACACGCACACACACACACCTTGAACCTTGAACGTGCCCATTGCCGATGGCAATGCACACACGCACACACATATACACACACTCTCACACATACACCCATACATATACCCCCCACCCTCCCGCCATACGCACAGCATGTTCAATACTTATGGTGCGTTACATTAATCTCGGCAAACATGCATTGCCACACTGCCCCTTGAATTTATACAAACATCAAACATTCTGATTACATCAAATGTCAATTGGAATAGCCACGTTACGCATATCTGTAAAACGTCTAAACAGGTTATAGGAGCACTGTGGAGAAATTGGAAGTGTCTCTCTCTGCAGTCGAAGCGAATGGCGTACACGTCCATGGTAGAGTCCAGGATCCGCTATGGATGCTCAGCTTTCTTTAGCTCTCTCTCCAAGGCTAATGAAGAGAGACTTCAACGCCTATGCAACCTAGCCCTGCGAGCCGTGTACAACCTCACCTCCCGTACCCGTATGACTCCCGTGTATGCGGAACACAACCTGCTTCGTGTTCACCAGCTCTTGCGTGAGACAGTGTGCTCGCTGGTCTACCGGTGCCTACATTCCACCATGGAGCAGCCGCTGATCAGCTCATTATTTGGAGATTTCGTCACACCGACTAGGGCTGGCCGAACGCGCGGCTCCCAACAACATCTGCTGCAGCTTCCATCCAGAACTCATCCCGTGTCTCTTTCTGCTGCACGCACTTGGAACAGTCTTCCACCTGATGCGAGAAACATCACGTCCCCCCCCCCCCTCCAGTTCAAGGGTGTGTTGCACGCGTATTGTCTTACTGTAGCATGACAGCAACCCCCCTTCCCTGTCTTGAGATAGTACTAGTAGTATGTAGTAATCCTGATGCTCTGTACATACCGGGGCTAGCTGTATGCTCAGTCTCCAGCTAGCTGTATGCTCAGTATACATTCTTGATCTTCTCTTCTTCTTTTTTTTTCTCTCTTTTCTTTAAAATGTTTTACTGCCAGAAGTCGTCTTCATATAAGGAGGCAGACATGCCTGTTTGTTGTACGACTTTAAATAAATCCAACCAACCAACCAATTGCAGCATAAATATCTGAGCTTGAATCCAACTTACGTATTTCGCATATGACATAGCGACCATCAGCTTGGTGAACCTGTGTACCAACAGTATCTGACACCATGCCTGTTGCATCCGGTGAGCCTACCCAGGCAATGAGATCTCTACTAATTAAGTCCTCAGCACACTCAGCTTGGAATGAGGACTCAGAGAGAATGGATCCATTATAGAACCGGCATATCTCTTGGCTTACTGCGTAGTTGGTTATGAGGCCTAGAATACTGATGCTTGTCCGGCCTTTGGCCGCCGCGCAAGGTCTGCTGTTGCCCAGCTCTGTAGCCAAAATACACAGAAAGCAAAAAAAAGAAGAAGAAAATATGGCAAGGAATATTATTTGCACAGCTGGTCCACTGCAGGCTGTACGGTTAAGTGCACGATACGGTATGTAAACCGGTGGTGCAACACAACGTGGGTATTGAACAGTTAGTTGGCCAGTTTCTTATGAGTGGACTTCTGCAAGTTTGAATCCTCTGACGACAGTCTGTACCCGGAGAGCACTGTGTAAGCGGTGCTCTTTGGGCACAGTCTTCCTAGGACTGCTCAAGCTCAACTGACGACAGTTGAGTTTCCCGAAACACTGTGTTTTGAGCAGGGAGCGGCGCTTTCTTGCAGGTTTGCCGAGTGGAAGGTTCGATGGACATATTGTTTGCTGTGGACTTCTCGTGTGCTCTGGATGGCAATTTTGAGTCAGTCAAGCAGAAACGTACAAGCAGCCAATCCGGTTACTGCAGCGCGAGGGTTCCAAGCGCTGATCAACTATATTTTGTGGTGTTAACTTGGTCAAGAACCGATAGAGTCATAGATACACGTCAATACCCCTAATCTTTTTGCATTGCAAAGATGTTTCCATCAGTTGAAATATAACTGTAAAATCAACCACGTTTTCCTGACTCCGCGAAATTGTCTTTCTATAGACCTTATTCGATAACGTGACTTTTGGACTCGCCTCCAGGGATTTGTCATAAGCTAGGGCACGCGTGCGAGAAACGAGTGGCAAGAAAGGCCCAGTTTGTACAAAAGAGTAGTAAAATACCGGTATTTATCTACTCCTATGTTCGCACACAGAGTCCACTGTGCACTGAGCGCAGATCTCTTGCCACTCCCTGGTTCCCGGAACCCCGGTGCACGTGATTGTGACGTTTATCAAATAAGGTCTATTCCTTGGCTCAATGAAATTCTTGTCTTTCTATTTCTGACTCCATGAAATTGTCTTCATGTAATTTGTCCTTTTCTTCTTTTGGTTCTTTCTGTCTTATATTATTATCATTTCTTGTTTCCCCTTGCATATCATCCCTAAATCATTCTGTGAGAACCTGTCCTATGGGCAGATGAGAAGGCATCTATGCCTGTTCATTTGGTGAAGTAAAATAAACAAACACAACGAATAAAGCCAAGAGTCCATAACCCCCGAGAGTGTGCAACTCCAGATTGGGATCTGGCGCAACGAAATCCAAACATTGCGTCATCCGGTCCCCGGGCAAGCATGGGCGGATGGGGCCATGTGCATATCTGGTACATCCGGGTTCCAAGTTGAAGGTTGCTTTGAAGCAAGCCGCGGAAGTGTCACGTAAAACGTTTGCTCCACGGTCTATGCAGTGTCAGCAGAACGGCTTTGATTTCACAGTCACAGAATTTTTTTATTTGAAGAGAGTTTCTCTGCTCGTTGTCTGAAAAGCTTGTATTGGGAGAGTTCGTGACTCCGGGATAGCAAGAATAGGCATGGATATAGATTTACAAGATTTGATGGAAATAGCTCTTGGCACACGGCATGAAGACCCGATCGATTTCGAAGTAGATGTGCTTCAACCTGCTCCTCAGTCCCATTTTGGCACTGCACACTGCACTCCGGCGACAATGGGGAGCGCTTTGCTTTAGGTTCAACAGTGGCCATTGTTCTTCTCTTATCGGAGAGACACTCAAAAGAGAAAACTGTTCGACAACTCTAAAATAATTCTTTGTGAACTTGAGCCTTTCCAGGCGTGTTACGTACAATACCTGGCCGTGGATTCGTAAAGAAAGACCCCAAATTGAGCAAAAGTGCGAAGTAGGTCTCGGCCAAACTTCCCATTTCGTCATAGCTACTCACTATATGACGTATGAAGTTTGGATTTTGTTGCGGCACTGATTTGTGCTGAGAAGGATCACGAGTTGCACACTCTGGGGGGTTATGGACTCTTGATAACGCACATATTGACCTAGGTAAAAACAAGGCATATACAAAGGCTCCTAGGCTTTCAAGTCCTGTTGCTATAATATAGCTACATATTATGTAGGTTACTGGTTCATCTGAAAGTGCAATGATCAGCAGAACACTGGTTGAAATGATACTGGCTGAAAGTGCAAGGATCAGCAGAACACTGGTTGAAATGATACTGGCTGAAAGTGCAAGGATCAGCAGAACACCGGTTGAAATGATACTGGCTGAAAGTGCAAGGATCAGCAGAACACTGGTTGAAATAATACTGGCTGAAAGTGCAAGGATCAGCAGAACAATGGTTGAAATGATACTGGCGTGCCTTTTCATAACCGAGAACCTCTCTTCTTTTTTCAAATAATTGTTATCCTAGAATTGGGTTTGTTCCCACCCTGGAGCTCGCGCTATTCCGCCGACTTGACTTGACACTTGACATACACTTGACTGACTCAGCCTAAGCTCAACTGATGAGGGGTGAATTCCCTGAAACACTGTGTATTGATCAGGGAGTGGTGCTTTCTTACAGGTTTGGCGAATCGAAGGTTCGATGGACTTCTCGTGTTCTCTGGATGGCAGTCGTGAGCCAGTCAAGTGTCAAGTCAAGTCGGCGGAATAGCGCGGAGCTCCAGTGTGGGAGCAAACCCATTCCTAAACAAAATCATCGCCAAAGTCGCAACCTCTATTTCGAATTGTAATCTTTTTTTAAATAAATTTTAATCGTTGCCTCTCCACCCCAGTCTTAAAGAGTTTAGTTATACCTGTAAAAATTGCTCACCATCATATCGGCAAGTGATATTGCTAGGCATCGCGGTAGATTGCATTTGATCATATCGCTTTGAGAAGCAAGCTGGAGTACAGGAAAACACATTGAAATCATGAAATCAATGTGACCTTAGACAGTACTGCAATATCTGTAGTTACATTAAAAAAATGAAAGTGCACATGCCGACATAGAATCGAAGAGAACAACAACAACAGCAAGAGACCATAGCAAATATTTGGCAGGGGCATGTTTCTATTCCGTTTCTATGTGTCGTTAACGCACTAGCAGTGCTTGTACCCATCCGCAACACACCCGGCTTGTACCTATCAGCAACACACCCAGCTGGTTCGTGTGATTTCTACAGCAGATTTTGCTTCAGCAGTATTTCTTTTGGGTAGTTCTTCGTAGTTTTGCTTCCAGACGGATTGTCTTCGAACTCTCCGGTTATTCCTTCCAGATGGCTAAAGTGGCTGTCTTGATGATGACTTGCCACATGCTCAGCCCTCAGTAGGCTCCCCGAGCACCGTGTGAATCCCCCTATCAACGAAGTTATGAGTTTTGCTAGAACTCTTGTTGTCACACACTGCCCCTGGTAGCATGTCCTGCCACGTCTAAGAGATCATGCCTGAAAAAAACCGGAATAGCTGGGCTGGGCCATCTCTCCGATTTCGCTCAAATTTTACAAAATGATTCGTTGCGACACTCGTGGACACCTTGGAACTGGGGAGCACCTTGAAATGGCCCCGAAATACGACTGAATTCCGGGACCATAAGCGAGCGCTGATACAGTGTACAGAACTAAACTAAGAACAAACCATTATTATGCCAACATTACTTCACGTGAGTACTCTTTACATCACCACCACATCGAGCCATGGCTACAGGAAAACAATGGCCATCATCTCCAAATATAACTAAATTGCATTGCTAAAATAGCCAAGTTTCAAGGGCCATAGCGGGAACCATTTACGCCGTCTATTTTTCTTAACCATGCACTGCAGGACAGTGGACTATCAACCAGGACATGTCGCGTAAAAGTGTTCAACGTTCTGGAAATATATAGATTTGAATATTTTCACTTCTCAATATTGCTACATGGCCAATTTCGTACCCGGCAGTGGAAGATGGAAAGCGATGGAAAGCGCCTCTTCGAGCACCAACACCAGGCACCACTTCAGACGCCAGTACGCTAAAAATCACCTCTATCGAGTCTGACGGGAAGTTTGCGCTGCCAGTCCTCGTTACTCCAAAGTATTTTCTTCGCCAAGCGACTCGAATTTCACTAGCAGCAAAGCTGTGCAGAAGTTCAAAAATATATTAAACAGATCGAAGCACGGCATTTGTGCGTCCTGAGACTAGCCATGCCCCGGCCACCGGGTGACATAGCAGATCGACGGACTTGATCGAGTTGATCTTAAGGTGATTCGTTACTCTCGCGCCAGAGAATCGTTAATATTATCGCGATGACTAACGTATAAATCGTGGCGCTCTCTGATCACTTACGTATTTCGCATGTAGCGTACAGCTTCACATCCAAGTCCTGGTTTTCATAGGCTGTCGACATGGCCTGATTGTTGGCCGGCAAGCCCAACCAGGCATGGAGGGGACCTTTCAAGTGGCGATGGGCGCACCCATCTGATACCGACTGCTTGGAAATAATCATTCCCGTATACAGTCTGCAGAGCTGGCTTGCAAAACTGTAGTTCAGGTGATTGTATGATGTCACAATTATAGTATTAGTTGGCTGACAGTAACGGTATTCGGTCGGCGGTGAAGCTGCAGTCATCGACAAAACACAGCAAGCAAGCAGAGAGACTCTTGCAAATGCATGCAAAACACTCACAAACACATCCATTCACACATTTACATCCGCCAACACCAGGTAGCCTGACACGATTTAGGTGGAACACCTGATTTTCAAGAAGCAAGTAATTCCTGACTGCAAACTTGGCAATGCTGGGAATCCGAACATAATAGGCCAAGTGTGCACCATCAATGCAGGGGATGGTTGCAGCAGGAGCTTCTTACGTGGAAAAGTATGACCGGGTACAAGGGGGTGGGGGGGGGGGGGTGGGAGGGACTCAACACATTCAAATGGAATAAGGAATATTTTATTATGACAGTGACTACACAGTGAAGTATGATAGCAGAGAGTTACTGCTGACCGGCCCTTAGCATCCATTCACCTGTGAAGCCCAAAAGGGGTTTACTACTACTGACCGCACACATAAAGTAAAGTTTGCATTCGACATAAGGCTGTTTTCTGAGTACTTACGATAGCATGACGGCGTTTCACTGGTACTCAAGCGACCAAAGCCATAACATGTAATCGAGGGATTGCCCAACAGGAAGTACCCGGTGTTGCATGAATATACAGCAGATTCATTAGCGTTCAATTCTGAGGAACTCGGCCGGCCATCCGGTATCCCAGGAACAAGGCAGTTGAAGTCTGGCAATTAGAAAAAATTAGCGAAGTATTGTATACATGAATACCTGTAAGGTTGGAGCCTGCGGAGGATCTTTCCATAGCGAAAATAAAATGTTAATTCGACAGGAGAACAAGCGTGAGTGTAGAAGAAATACAGTAAATGTCTCTCGGATGTTAGTCGCTAGAAGTTCACCTCGCTAACCCACACAAATCGGTAGATCGCTACCTGCAATTGACGCCAAAATGTAAGGTTGCTCTCATAGTACATGGACTTACAATGACAAGTGGGCTTTTGCATGAAACTCAAACTGCCATTGTTGCCATTGCATATAGCCGTGTCATTGCCCATCAGGAAATATCCGACGTTGCATCCATACTGAGTAGATTCGTCAGCTCGCACTACTGATGCACTCGAGGTGGCGTTCGCTATCTCAGGTACACTGCAGTTCAGGTCTGAAAACAAGTTAAATAACGACACGGTAAAGGTGGAAAGAGTATTTTTTATTTTATTAAAATAGAATAAACCACATGGAAACGAGCCACGAAGCAACCATCCACGACTGTAACAAGATAATAAGCAGCCAGACAATGCGATAACAGGGCAAAAAACTGACATGTTCCTGAGACACTCAACAAACTGCTTATTCTCCGTTCGGTACGTCTGTTACCATGTGTTATCGTGTTTTGCACCATGCCTGGCGCTATCCCGTGCATGTCCCGTACAGCGACTGAGGGGATGCATGCAGGGCGATAGTGGGAATTCCCAAGCTTTACGTGGAAAAAAAGTTTAAAAATTAAATGAGCCAGCGCCATAGCGTAAAATTATAACTTCTTGGCAATTGTGGGGCGGGGGCGTGGGCTCTATCCTAAACCCATGTACATAGGGGGTTGCTGCGGATACTGTAAAGAGTGAAATTTTCGCGGCGTTTTTAGTTCGCGTTTTCAGAATCCGGACAGGTTTGCGAGGTTTTAATGTTGCGATTGCAGAATGGCATTCTTGCTAAACCTGTGGCATTCTTGCTAAACCTTTCATGGATCTCCTTTTCACGTCGTCTAAATTTCGCGATTTCCACGCGGTCGCGAATCTCGCAGAAAATAGACCATCGCAATAATCTCACGGTTAACAGTATGTCAAAAATGATAAGGAGAGGGATTGGAGCACAGGAGCTCTCGATATGCTTTGTTTATGATGACCTGGGTCATCAAAATCCTAGCAGTACCAGGACCTGTGGAAGCAAGTTTTGATTGGTACGGCCAAAAGCTAGGCTTTCATACAGTTTGTGTATGATGTCTAGTGTATACACAATGACCTACTCAGCAGTAAACACACATTGTGAGCCAAAAGGCTGAGCCGGCGAGGCCCCGACCAAGCGGACCGGTTCTGCCCGGCCTGAGTACTAGGCCTTCACCTTATTTCTTTTTTCTGCCTTTTTTTGCTAAGAGTAGGCATCTCAGCGCGTGAACTGCGCAGCCAGTCTGCGCAGGTGAGATTTCCGATCCCAAACGCGTCCAGTGCAGAAATCGTGGAAAAGAACATTTTTTCGAAATAAATCAAGTTGAAGAAGACAGTAGAAATGGCTGAATATTGCGTCCAGGAAAGCACGTTCTACGGCCATCTCCAAGCTACCTATCTCCCAGACACTCTCTCAGAGGAACTATGGAGGGTCAAAGAGCACAATCTTTCACTCTTGGACACAGCGTGAACACCTCTTCTACTGAGCGCGATGTCTTCTCTCCGAGTGATAATGGCGGCGATGTTCGGGATGGCTAATGCACTGAAAATCGAAGTTAGGACAATCTAACCGGAGAAAAGGTCTGAATTTTTGACTGAATCCTCTCTGAAGTGGGTTCTTGCCGCATGGAAAATTTTAGGAAAATCGACCGGGCCAATATCGCCTTGGCCACGCTGTCCTTCGGCGGGAAGTACAAAGTATGTTCAAACGACGATGAAGATGACGATTCGGCTAGTGTCCACCGCGTCCCCTAGTGTCGAAAATCGACCGTCACCATTTTTCTGCTGTGTCCGCGAGCTGCACTCAAAACTCGATGACGCAATGTATGCGCAAACACCCTGCGCACTGCACGCGCTGAGATCCCTACTAAGAGCTTTCTTTTCACAAACCGTAATGTCGCGTATTAAACCAGTGCTTGCGGCCGTATAAGCCGGGGGCTCAAACCATGCTTCTATACAAGTTATGCTTCTATTCGAAACATGCTGCTACGTCAACATCATCATTCTGCAATGTGCAGCGCATACTGCCATGCACGTATGTACGTACCCCTTTTACTTTACAGGGAGCAGCTTCTATTCAAACCATGCTTCTGTGTTACGGCGATCTTTAAAAAAATCTGCTTCTATTCGAGTCATGCTTTGTTATGGATTGCATGCATGTTCTGTGCAACGTCACAGTCCTAGATTACATGCATGCTATGTGTGATGTCATTATCAGATTTTCTTAGCTACTGTTACCATGCGCGTAGTTACTGTTGCCATGCAGCACTCTTGGCTTCCTGTGCTTCATGTCTTTCCTCTCTGGTTTTACATTGACTTCCATGTTCCCTCTCAATGCAATGTATTTCTAAACTCTCCGATCGTCTGATGGGTGTTTATGAACATGAAACTCGGAGTTACGAGAAAGATTTTTGGTCCCTGTTGTTCTTGCTTTGTGTAGTACGCTCTGGCCATTTTCAGGTATCGAGCACTATTTGCAGCAAGGACTCGGGACACTTTGTCAAAACTCTCCGACCCGTGTGTATCAGTGGAACAGTGCATGAGTGGTGTGCGGGCTGAATGCAAACTACATGTACGGGTCATACTCTTATTCGCGACAGTACAGTTTTTTTCTTTTCACCTGTGTCGTCTCCCTGCCAGTTTTTTTCCCATTCCTGCGTTACTTGGACCTCATTCGCTTCCTTGTCATTGGACATGTTTAGTTAGTTCGGTTTGTGAAAACAAATAAACACAACCAACCAACCAACCAACTAACCAACTAACCTGGATTATGACAGTTTTACTTTACAAGTGCATTCTCAGTAATAGATCTAACTACAGTTAAACCTGGTGTAAGCGATGTCTTGATTTAGAGACCAGACACTCTTATCAGTCGTTTGTCCATGCACGGACAGTCCTACACACACACACTGTGGGATCGGGTTCAAGGCTTTAACCCTTTCTTTACCCCTTATTTTCGAGTCAATTCACAGTCTACAAAAATACGACTTTTGTTATTATCTCTGCTCTCGTTTGGCCATTTCTCACAAACAAACGCTCTCTGGAAAGCTAGTGATGGCAGCTACGCACTCGTAGAAACTACAACACCAAGTGTCATTCGTGTGTGTCGCGCCCTGATGAAGAAGACGTATTCAAAGTCAAACAAATATGCGCAGCGCGATGTCTCATGTGTGGCTCACTGATTTGTAAAATCGTGGCTCATAGAAACCAGACGAAGTTCTTGTGAAAATACCTGAATTCTGAAGGATTTCCAGGCCCAAAACGAATACCAGGTACTGGCAGGTAGGTGTACGGGAAGATATCATCATAGTTACTCTCTGCGTGACGGCGAGTGGAATTGTTTGAATGCGCATTTTTAATCGAGCACTAGCTTCGAGCTTCGTCGTTCGCCAAGTGTGCAACAAGGAGTGAAAGCGGTAGTTGCCGTCGATAGTCAAGGTCTTTCTGAAGACGTAGAGCACTCATTTGTAATAATCCGACAATATTTGAGCGTGTGACAAAATATTTAGTGATCGCCTATTGCATCGACCCACGTGGATCGATATTTGAATGGCTGGTAGCGAGAGGGTTAAAGACCGTATTTGCTTGCACCGTGGGGTGGTCGCTTAAACCAGATTTTACTGTACACTCCAAGCACTTCTTTTCTTTATCTTTTCCTCTTATATCTACTTTTCCACAATATCCTTTTACATTTTTATTCACAGTGGGTCCAATGTTATTAGGCATTTTGCCTGTTTTGATTTCCACTATAAATAAGGAATACAACAACACTGACTCATACTAACAATCACAGAGAGGCACGGAAGACAGTTGTCTGTCAGCCTGGCAATGTGATGTGGCATTACCAACGAGCCCTTGATCATGCCGAGTGCAGGAAAACGTGACAATTTCCTCGAACGAGATCATGGTCGTCTTGTCACTAGTTCCGTTAGCAATAGTAGGTATGTTACATTTTACAGCTGTGCATATGAAGAAAATAGCAAATTCAAAACAGCCCCAATCAAAAAAATTAAAACGACCGTAAAAAAACCACCACCTCTCTCTCTCTGTGCATACCCCTCGTAGTGTTCAACCCTCGTCTAATTTACTTTGATCTCGTATTTATAACTTGCCAATATCAAGGACTGATCGCTGTCTCCATTCTACCCTGTGTAAGGCCCTTCATTACTTTAACCCTTTCACTGCTAATAACGAGATATCTTGCTCTGTAATGTGTACCTGAACGGCGGATGACGAGATATCTCGTAAGTGGCCAATTTTTTTGTATTATTTTCATCTATACATACCCGCCAACACTCACGCACTCGTATACGCCCACTCGAAATTACGCCCACCCTCTGTGTACACGCCCAGTCAGAGGAAGTCAACACTTTTGTTTCAAAATAGTGCCCATGCCCATGTATACGCCCAGGTATGCCGGCAACACCAGTACATTATACAGGTACTGATACCCAATACATACTGCTATCCCTGTTCCAAGTATACGCCCGGTTCCAAAATAACGCCCGTGCCCTTGAATACGCCCAGGAAATCGAGACTGCTTTTCTATACGACCGGGGCCTATACACGGGCTTTTACGGTATCTAAGTTGAGGTTTGGTTGACAGCAGCTGTAAAGTAGTCGACGCCGGGCCTAGGTTTCCATTCACCTCAGGTTTCTAATCATATCAGGTTTCTAATTATATCAGGTTTCTAATCACATCAGGTTTCTATGTGTGTCAACACTGGAATCAGGCTTACGCATCCACTGTCGTGAGAATCAGACTTCAAAACAGTGTACTGCGCCAATAAAATTAAAATAGAAGAAATCACATGGGAATGAGTTATGAAGCAACTATCCACGACTGTAACAAGATAATAAGCAGTCAGAAAGTGCGTTGAATGTCTCAGTAACATGTTAGCGTTGTGCCCTATTCTGACTGCTTTTTGGATACAGCCATGGATAGTTGCATCATAACTCGATTCCATGTCATTAAGAAGAGTTTACGTCTGTGTACACACGAGTATGCCCATAGAGCCACTGGCATTCCTACACCATCAGCAGTAATTGCACGTCACACTTTTCTTTGAAGTTTTATTGTCTCATTCCATGTGACTTAATTCTACCCCCCCCCCCCCTCCTCCCCCCCCCCCTCCCCTCCTCTCCCCTCCCCCCCCCCCCCCCCTGATGTGGTACTTA